CGCGCTGGCCGAGGGCCGGATGACCACGCTGAATCTGTCCTGCTCCACATTGGAAAAAGAATCATTGAAAACCATCTGCCATGCACTCACACACACTGGGCTGCAGTCTCTCACGTAAGATCATTTTTTATGTATATGCACTTATTAGAAAGAACAGCATCATATTAGGAATGGGATCGTGACTCAGAGAGCTTGTGTGATACAGCTGTGCCATCATTCTTGGTGCTTGCTTCTGCTGTAACACTTGCTGAAATGTGTCGTCACTATGTTTAGGTTAAATGGATGCACATTGACCGCAGCTGATTGTGAAGAACTGACGAAGATGCTCTCCGGAGGCTCCCGACTGCGTGTGCTGATTCTCTTTGGGAATCAACTGGAGGACCAAGGTCTTATTCATCTCAGCAGTGCGCTGGAGAACTGCAGACTTCAGGAAATCAAGTACACTTGCACCATTCATACGACTTTTTGGAAGCAGAAATATAGAAGTGAAACCAATTAACCGCTGTTTTGATGTGTGCATGTGTTCTGCAGTCTGGATGGTTGCTCGCTGACAGCGGCGTCCATGTCTGCACTGTCTTCAGCTCTGATCAATGGTTTTTCAGAGCTCAGGATGCTAGACCTGAGCCGGAACTCACTGAAGGATGATGGGATTGAGCTGATCTTACAAGCGTTACACAAACGCCGTCTAAACACATTGAAGTAAAGTATATGCTGTGTTTGCGTGACCAACATGGATAAAAAGTCACGTCTAAACACCTCTTTGTCTTTACACATATGTCAAAATGTGTTTTTTATATACTGTATACTACCTTTCAAAAGAAGCCTCTTATGCTTACAAAGCTGCATTTATTTGATCAAAGATAAAGTGAAATAAAATAAATAGTGCAATTTTATTAAAAATGCTTCTTGTTATAATCAGCGTTGAAAAGACACACCTTTCTCCCAATTCTTTGATGAATATAAGTTAAAATTAAAAATAACAGGATTGATTTAAAATTGAAATCTTTTGCATTATTAATGTCTTAACTGTCACTTTTGAACAATTTAATGCATTTATTTTTAAAATAATAATAATCTTACTGATCAAAACTTTTGGATGGTGAATATATATATATATATAAAATATATATATATATATATATATATATATATATATACATATAGTATATATATATTAGGGCTGTGCAAAAATTAATATATGTATAAATATATGAATGTGTATTAAATAAATATAATACATATATATAGTATATATATATATATATATATATATGAATGATGGGAAACTGGAACAAAATGCAATACATTTTGAAAATAAAAATATACAATATATTTAGTGGCAAATTGGAGCAGAGTGGGGCTCAATATTTGCTACAAAATTCATAAGGTTAATTGCACAAAGTTAATATATATATATATATTTTTTTTTTTTTTCACAGAGTGTTTGACTGCGAGTTGACTGGCTCCTGCTGCCCCTCTCTGGCTGCTGTCCTCCAATCAGAAAACTGCTGTCTGACTGAGCTGGACGTGTCCGTAAATGATCTCGGCCAATCCGGAGGGATGCAGATATGTGACGCCCTGATGGCTCCTAAGTGCACACTGGAAATACTGGAGTATGTATGCAAATGAGTTGTTTTTAAATCACATTGATGATGATCATGTGAAAAAGGCAGACAGTTGAAGCGTGTTATGAATATCATTGGTGAATATAATTTTTTCTTGGTTGGATCAATTGAACATACACTACCATTCAAAAGTTAGGCATAATAACAATAATTTTTTTTAAAGGCAATCAATACTTTTATTCATCAAGAACGCATTAAAGTGAACATGTTACAGAAGATTTATATTTCAAATATCTATCATAAAATAATCCTGAAAAACACCTGTTTAAAAGTTTACGCACTTCATTACGCAGCACAACTGTTTTAAACATTGAATGACATTGAATGATCAGAATGATTTCTAAAGGATCATGTGACACTGAAGGCTGGAGTAAAGATGCTGAATACTGGAATAAATAATAAATATATTCAAATAGAAAAGTTATTTTAGATTGTAATAATATTTCATAACTGTAAAAATGAATGCGCTTTATCTAATCAGAAAGAATTGTGGCAACAGATTACAAAGCAATATTATTAATTAAATGTAACAATACAATTGATAATTAATCAAATTACTTCATTAAAAGTTAACCATTTAAAATGAGTAAAACGTTTTTTAGAAAGTATGTCTAAGTCACCATTATAGTGCTCAGTGTTTGTTTTAAGGTTTGTTTTAAAATGACGGTTTTCTCCTTAATCTTATCTTTATAAAATAAAAATAATATAAAATAATTAATCTTTGACGTCTGTCTGTTATTCAGATGTTTTTGTTTAAATTTTGGTGTAAACTTTACTCATTTTAAATGGTTAACTTTTAAGGAATATTTTGACTCAATTCTAATTTAATTAATAATTTTGTTTGTAATCTGTTGCCACAATTTTATTGATTAGATAAAGCTTATTCATTTTTACAGTGTACTGCTTTACTGTATTTTTGATAAGCAGAAGACTTCTTTAAAAACATAAAAAATGGCTACCAATCACAAATAGTTGTACAAATGTAGTGCTAATGTTATTTCCGAGGTCGAGAATGGTATAGCATTTTGATGAAAGGTTATGAACACAATCATTTAATCTTTCTTTAAATGTGATGAGTCGTGCACAATGAGACTAGTTGAAAAGTACATTTTGATGCCGTATAGTCACATGAAAACCGTTCCCGATGTGAAATCTAAACAGTGTGTGTATTTGTTGTAGATTGAGTCGATGTGAGTTGACTGAGGAGGTGTTTCGAGCGCTGGGGAGTGTTTTGACGTCCGGCGGGTCGAGGCTCACCAGTCTCTCTGTAGGAGCGAATAATGTGGGCGATTCTGCGGCCAAACACATGTGGGAGGCGCTGAGACACAAAAACTGCAAACTACAGCACCTGGAGTGAGTGATATCCTCATCCACATTCTCCCAACAGAAACTAGCATGATTAGATGATGAGTGAAATCTGTCTCGTCTTGTTTCTGCAGTCTGGAGATGTTTACTCTGACAGATGCTTGCGTAGAGGAGTTATGTGAATCTGTTGCTGCCAGCAGCACTTTATCAACTCTCATCCTAAAAAACAACACAATGACCGACTCCGCTGTACCACAGTTGGTCAAATTAATGCAGGCCCGTCCTCAAATGACCCAGCTAAAGTAAGTTCAGGCTATACAGTGATGTGAATAAGTTTGCACACCCATGCTAAAGCTGCCTAAAAAGAGCAATAAAAAAAATCATCATTTGGAAATTGATCTTACTGCTGGTTTTATTTCAGTTAGCCTAATAGCTGGTTTGATTTCCATTGGGAGACGATCTTATGGAAAGTACCCCATGCCAATCTCGAGGTGTGATGATGTGGGGATATTTTAAATCCAAAGGCCAAGGGAACTTAATCAGGATGCATATTAAATAACTGGCCTTTAAAAGTAAAAATCTATGGGAATTTAACATAGGGGTGTCCTGATTTATGCACCCTGTATTTTTATTTATTTATGACACATTATTCATTCAGAAAGAAAATTGGTGTCGTTAAAGGTAAAAAAAATTAAATTAAGGCATTAAGATCAATTTCCAAAAGATGATTTTTTTATTCCTCTTTTTAGGCAACTTTAGGATGGGTGTCCAAACTTATTCACATCACTGTACACGTAATGTTCATGCCCATACAGAAAAAAAAAATTTATAATACATTTTTTAAAAAGTTTTTTTTTTTTTAAAACACTAAAATACACTGAAAATAAAAACAGACATTTTAAATAAGTTGACTTTTAGTGTGTTTGTGGTTATATTGTTTTTGACCATTTCTTTTACAGTAATTTCAGTGCAAATATAATTATACTGTCCAAAATACATATTAAAAGGTACATTTTGTATTACCCCAAAAAATATTTTTATACAGTAAATGCTTTTTTTTGCCCCTTGCAGTACATTTTATATTTTGTAATTAAAATGTTTAAATGAAATATATTTAAAATGAGCAGGACAAAATGTTGCATGATTGCACTTGAATATGATGCACTATACAGTATGTGATCAGTAATGTATTATTTTTCTCATATTTTCTTCCAGTCTGCAGTATAATGACTTCAGTGAGGATGTTTTTGACTTGATGGAGACATGCCCAAATATCGTTTACTAGAAGAATCTCAGGTTGGAACATCTGCAATGCACACCTGCATATATTGCCTTTTAAAATGAAATGCATGCTTAACGTGTAAAACAAGCTTTTATTAATGCATATTCTATTTCATCTGTTCTGTGTCACCATATCGTTATCGGCCCATATATATTCATTTTTAATGTTATAGTTATCGGTCTGCTAAGAAAAATATTTTAAATATGGATTATTTCCTTTAGCTGAGAGACTCTTCAGATGCCATAATGGGTTGAAATATGTCTGTCATATAGGCTACATAAAATTATAATAGTGTGCTTGGGACATGTTTTTGTAATAAGGCTCTCAAATATGATATAAAATGTTTATCGACCTATATATAGGTTATCGGCTTTCAATTATTAGTTATTGGTATCGGCCAAAATGTTCATATCGGTGGATCCCTAGCTGTTTTACAGACAGTTTTATAAAGTTGCCCCAAAAAGTATGAATGTCATTGCATTTGTAACAAAATATTATATCAAATACTTTAGTATTTTAGTAATGGAATATATCACAAACACAAGTTACAAGCAAAAAGAAGCTTGTCACTAAAAAGTTCACTAATGCTTCAAAACCATCCTTTCTAGTTTTGAAGCATTATGCGAAGCATGCCGTTGTAAATTTGATGAATTACTATATCTTCGTTCATTTTTAATTGTGATACTTTTTGGGCCACTGTATATTGTCTGGTTCTGAACTTCTTACACATACCAGACAACCCTCAAAATGCAATTTATTCACAAAATGATTGTCTTATTATAGAAATGGACAGCTGGAACTCACAGACAGTGATTTATTTCACATTACATATAGAGAGCATTCAATTCGGTGTGAATTTGAGAACTATTTCACACAGATTCAGTGGCACTTATAAAAGAGACCTCAGTCTGGCATTTGAGGCTTTTATACAGAATAGAATTAGTGACTGGAAGGATGGATTCATTAGAAATGACAAAACCTGATTGTGCACTCAGAGAGCGTCCTCATGCGACCCTGTTCAACACACTCACACACCCTGCTGTAACCATGGATTTGCATGCTGCTTCTGTTTGACGAGGTTGTCTTGCTGGTTAAAGTATTTAAACACAACAGCAGGGCTCACACACACACATACACACACACACACTCAGTATTGCAGCTCTGTCCTTCTTTCACTGATGTTCTGGATGGTTCTGCAAGCAGAGGATGAACTCAGTAACAGGCCGACCCTCGTAACAGATCTCGTACACTGCATTAAAAAGGGGAAATCTGTGGGAAAAAAACATGTTCAGATGTGTTGAACTAACTTTAATGTAAATGCACAATGAAATTGAAACTTACTTGTCGAGTATGCCTTTGTTTTTAAGTATGGTGTGGACCTCAGCGGCTGTGGCTGGACCCTGCAGCTTCTGACCATTCAACATTTCCTTCTCAAGCTCTTCGAGAGACTGAAACAGAGAATCGAATGACTACAAATGCTGCCAAAGATATGTGTATTTGCACTAATATTACTGCTACTTTAAATCACCTGTTTTGCACTTTTCTCATTGTACGCAGAGCTACAAATATTTCGTTTTTTGTTATGCTAAATTGAAAATGGAATTTATGGTTTGATATGGTATGGTTTGATAATCCATGACTAATCACATTTCACATTATTTTTGATTTTACTTTTAAATTCATTGTATATTTAAATGCATCATAAAAAAATAATAATAATATAATAAGAATAAAAATAAAAGGGTCAGGAGATTGCATTCTGGGCCTAGTTATTGTGACATACCACATATAAATTTATTAGATTTAAAGGGATAGTTCACTTTGAAATTAATTGTTCGTATGTTTTAGCTTACATCAAGGGCATTCAGATGTAGGTGTCTTTGTTTCCGCAGTAGTTTCAATTTTGATATTTTTAGGTCAAACCGTTCTTGTCTGTCAGTCATATAATGCAGGTCTATGGTCACCACCTCAAAGAGCATGCACAGAGTAGTCCAAATTAAACATGATTTAATGACTGGTAAATGTAAGTACACATTGATGGCCTAAGACACGAAACGAGCGGTTTGTGTGAGAAAACGAACAGTATTTATATCGTTTTTACCTGTTGTAATCACATCCACGTCCAAGTGATCTGAGTGCGCGGGGGATTTGTGGCTGTGGTTCCAAGAGGTAAAACGATATAAATGCTGTTCGTTTTCTCACACAAACCGCTCGTTTCGTGTCTTAGGCCATCAATGTGTACTTACATTTACGAGTCATTAAATCATGTATAATTTGGACTTCTCTGTGCATGCTCTTTGAGGTGGTGACCATAGACCTCCATTATATGACTGACAGACACGAACGGTTTGAAACTACTAAAATTGAAACTGCTGTGGAAACAAAGACGTCTACATCTGGGATGCCCTTGAGGTAAGCTAAAACATACCAGAAACTAATTTCAAAGTGAACTATTCCTTTAACAGCTGCAATGGGTAAGATTTACAGTGTAAAAATACTAACATTGTCTGGTTCCTCAAAAATCAGTTGTATGAAATTAAAAGAATTTTTAAATGGACTACTTTTTTTTGTCTTTTTGAAGCTTGTAAGCTCCATTTCTGTAAGAAAAATCATGTTTTTTTGTTGAGTTCCACAGAAGAAAGTCATACAGGTTTGAAATGGCACGAGGGTGATCACATTTTCGGTGAACTATCCCTTTAAGTTCTTGGTGTCTCACCTTGCCAGTCTTGGCGAAGGCCTCTGAGACTTTCCGATTTCGTCCTCCGTAACATGTGGTAATGAGATCAGCAACGCCACAGCTCTCCAAGAAAGTTGCAGAAGAGACAGAGCCGGCGGTGCAGAACAACCGAGCAAAGCTGATCATCTCCATGAGACCCAGTCTGATCACCGCAGCCTTTGTGTTGTCCCCAAAGCCCAAGCCGTCACAGAAACCTGCTCCTACTGCCACTATATTCTGTAGGAAGACAAATAGGTCTAATGTCTGACATGTTCTGAGCTAGATTACTACAAGAAACGTGTTGTTTGGAAATGCTAAGATCCCCTGACATTACATTTCTGGTGTTTGTGTTCTTGCTGCGCACTGTGAAGTTTGTCATGTTGCAGTCAGATGAAAGTCTTAAAGGGATAGATCATCCAAAAATGAAAATTCTGCCATTTGGTTTGCAATGACATGAGAATAAATGATGACAGAATTTTCATTTTGTGGTGAACTATACCTTTAAGACTTTCATCTGACTCAGAAGCAAAGTGTTTTCTCCTATAGCTCAAACCGTGGAGCCAAGGTCATGGGTTTGATTCATAAGGAATACATGAACTGATAAAGATGTGTATCTTGAATGCAGTGTAAGTTGCATTGGATAAAAGAAACTGCCAAATGCATAAGTGTAAATGTATTTATAAAACAATATATACAGTGATTCTATTCTGTAAAAGGAAAAATATAGCATTTAAATACAAAATATAAATTATATATATATATATATATATAATAAAAAAAATATAATAAATATGTTTATATATAAAACATGTTTTCAGCTAATGAAAAACATACTAAAAACAAATTAAAAATGAATAAAGAATAATAAATACTATATATACACTTTTAATACAAATAAAAAAAGGAAAAAAAATTAATTAACAAAAATTAAAGTGAAAATAGAAAATATACAAATAAAAGCTAGTTCATAATATTTGCAAATATATTAATGATATAGTAAAAAAAAAACACTGGTCTGAAAGTCATTCTTTTTGCTACAATATCAAACTAACTAGTGTTTATTTTAAAGAAAGACAGCACAAAGCACACTTTTCAGGCAAAGACATTCGCCAACAATACATTTATTATTGTTTTTTATTATTATGGCTATTGTATTCTAGTATTTATTCATATTTTGAAGTACCTTTTATAGTTATATTTTCATTTAAATTTAGGTTTTATTAACTCTGTTAAGTGCTTTTGTCAAATTTATTATTTATTTTTTTAAATATGCCTTTTAGTACTTAAAAACTTTTTAAGTTTAAGTTTCATTTAGCAATAACAACACTCCTCTAAGTTAGTGGTTCAACTGTCCAAATTCTTATCAATGTATTTCTCGGTTTGATTGTTAAAAACTCTACAGCAAAAGAGAACGTTAATAACTGACAACTCACACTTGCCATATCAAGACAGACCAGTATTATTACTGCTGTTGATAAAACAACTTCTTGATCTGCATGCAATGTCAACCTAAAATTAGTTTTAACTGTTAAACACACTGGAAATCACTAACTGTGTCACATATGCACTGTCCTATTTTGAGGTGTGAATAATCAAACCTTCAGTGCACCACAGATCTCCACCACATCTGCTTCCTGTACGACTGTGACACGGAAGTGATCCGTCTGCATGAGTTCTTTAAGCAACGCCCCCTCACTTTTATCCCTGCAGCCTGACAAATATTAAACACACAAAAGCATATACTCACCCAAACACAAAGTGACCTATTTAACATATTCACATTGCTTTTTATGAGCCTCACCAATGGTGGTCTCACAGAATTTCTCATCCGCCACCTCGTTGGCGATATTCGCTCCCATCAACACGCTCATCTTGATGCCCAGCTTCTCGTGAATGACCTCTGAGATGAGCTTCAGTCCATCCGGCCCTTCATCCACACCCTAAATGAACCACAAGCACAGTCATGCTTTGCTATCGGTTTCAAATGTAACAGTATTTTTAGGTCAAACCGTTCTTGTCTGTCAGTCATATAATGGAGGTCTATGGTCACCACCTCAAAGAGCATGCACAGAGAAGTCCAAATTAAACATAATGACTCGTATGTGTTTCAATCAAAGTGTACTTACATTTATGAGTCATTAAATCATGTTTAATTTGGACTTCTCTGTGCATGCTCTTTCAGGTGGTGACCATAGACCTCCATTATATGACTGACAAGAACGGTTTGACCTAAAAATATCAAAATTGAAACTACTGCGGAAACAAAGACACCTATATCTTGGGATGCCCTTGAGGTAAGCTAAAACATACCAAAAATTAATTTCAAAGTGAACTATCCCTTTAAAAGCAACTGTCCTCTTTTTATCTGCTGCTGAGTAAGAGATAAAATGGCACAGAAACGACTTTCGCACACAATGCATATATTCATGAGTGTACGGGACCTTGATGAGGGACATTCCAAGCGCGTCCTGTTTGATGTTGCCCTTTATGGTGTCACAAACACGTCCGATGAACTGATGTGGAATCACAAAGATCAGGATGTCAGCACTCTTGGCAGCGTCGAGCAGATCTGACACCGCAACCTGTGAGCGAGAGAACGAGAGTGGAATAGAGAGAAGGGAAAAGAATCAGTTTGATATAATGATGAAACCTGCAGAAACTCAACATATTCACTAGATGAATGGCTACACCTAAGGTGCCCTGTTTCCTATTTTATTATGTGACCTACATACTGGCTTATTTGTGTTGTTATTTTGACATGTCCATGTCAAGCCAAAACCACCTTGTTCACATTATAAATCCTTGTATCAAGTCTCTGCCAATGGTTTTCTAGGCCTCTAGCCCAGTCCAGAGATAGTCGTTCCTGAACCTAGCTATAAGCTGAACCATTTGGCTGACTCTCACACATTCGGTCTACAGGTCATAATGACGGAGAAACCACATGCAGCTTTGTCAGCTTCTTATTAGTTGCTTGAGTAAACTGGATGGTTTCCTTTGCAAAGGTTTTGGGGACAGAATCTAGTGGCTCAGCACTCTTCTCCAGACCTCTGGAGTGTGTTAACTTCCTCTGTAGCAGAGCAACTATTTGCTGTTGAGACAATTTCCCAAGCAAAAAAAAGTGAACTGATCTTTGTGATTGAATCTTGTAGATGAATATGTACACTAAAATGTAAATATTATATGCACAATAACATTTAAATACTATATGCTATACTATAATTAATCACTACATGCAATTAAACAAGTGTGTATATATTAGGGCTGTCAAACGATTCATCGCGATTAATCGCATCCAAAATAAAAGTTTGTGTTTACATAAAATATGTGGGTGCACTGTTTATAATTATTTTGTATATATATATAAATACACACAGTCACACACATGCATGTATATTTAAGAAAAAAATATTTTTCTTATATACAAAATATTATAATTATTATATATTATAAAATTATATATAAATCTATATACAGTATATACATGAAAATATTTCTTAAATATATACAAGCATGTGTGTGTATTTATATATATAAAATAATTAAACACAATGCACCCACATATATTATGTAAACACAAACTTTTATTTTGGATGCGATTAATCGTTTGACATGCAGCCCTAGTGTGTATACACACACACACACACACACACACACACACACACACACACACACACACACACACACAGTATATAGTAGTGCTCTTAATTGATAAATAGTGATTAATCGCACATAAAAGTTTGTGTATAAATATATTTTTTGTGTATTTATTTATTTTTATTCTTGTAATTCAATTTTCTCTTGATTTATATATATATATATATATATATATATATATATGCAATTTGAACAAGCAACTATTTTTATTCTTGTAATACAATTTTTTCTATTATATTATAATATTAAAATAATATAATACATAATAATGTATATATATTACATTAATCGTATACATTCTATATATTTTGGTGTATATATCCAAATATTATTCACATTTAAATACACAAATAAAAAGTTACCATAGTTGCTTCTGTTACATTGAAAATATGAATAAGTATTTCACACTTTAATTTATTTACAGAGTTTCTTAAACCATTTATTTATTATTCTATTGTACAAGTATGCAACAAATATTTTATTTGATTTATAACAAAATATATGATTTTATTATTTGCATTTATTTTATTATATATTATTCAACACACTTCATTAATAATATTTATATTTAACACATCATATGATTAAAATAAAACAATAAGTTTCTTACAACATTTTCTGGAAGCTTGTGTCCAGGCAAATACTTGACGTTCTCGTGGTCTGTGTTTATGATCTCTGTGAGTTTACGCCCGTCCACCATCTCTTCAAACACCCACATGTTAACCGTGGAGTGAAACTTCGAATTGTTCACGGTATTTCTGCCAACTATCTTAGCAATAGCAGAACCCCTGTGTATTACAGAAAGAGAGAGAGAGGGTGAGAGTTCATCATGTGAAAGGTTGCGGGTGGAAATGAACAAAGGACTTTACTCCCATCACGACCCCTGATCTTTTTTCCTTTTTTGACCAAAATGGAGCTTTTGCATTCCAGGAAAGTGATCAAAGCCTGTTGTGTCAGATGATCAGAGGGTCAGTTCAGTTTACAGGGGTAACTAGTTAACTAGTCTACTGATTGGGCACTTAATGCCTATTTACAAAAATACCCAACCATATCAATTTTGCAGTATTGTTTGAGAAATGTAATATGGCTCTTAACTGAATACAAACATAAATTTGGGTTGTTGTTACAGTACAAATTTTGGAGTCTTGTTTAGTGTGATCATAAATAGTGTGGTTTTAAAGGAACAGAAGGCCATTTCAAAGATTCAAGCTCATAAAAACCTCAGTCATCAACAGCAGACATGTTTAATAAATATGTCTATGTGAATATTTAAATTATTATAATAAAAGGTCAAGGGAAACAATTCAATAACAAAAGAGTATCATTTGCATGCATTATATGATATGGCCTAATACTCTGTGGCTGTCAGTACATTTCAAACATTACAAATGGACATAATTGAACCAAGATGTGGCCAGATGGCTCTAGGACAGATAGTTGAAACCTATGGAACTTAAAAACTGAACCTAACCAGTGTGACTGACTGGAACATGTGTTCTACTTGTTTTGCATTGCAGCAGTGTTACAGATGGCTCATGTAAACAGTGATAATATTCAAGTTAGTCCAAAAGCACATTCAAAGCTGTTGAGCAGAACTTCTTAAGGGGATCTCATATTGTGTAACAAAAACAACATTGTATATAGCTATATAACCTTCGTATTAACATGTCTTCTGTTATGCCCTTTCAAATGTCATAACCTTAAACTTGTTCTTCAGAAGCATACTTGTTATTAAACGGCTTGTGTGCCTTTGTTTTATTTAAAACTAATGTCATGTGCTGTCAAATGATCCCCAACAGCTCAAACAGTCATTTCTAAAGAAAATCCAAATATGTATTTTTTTACCAGTTCCCAGAGCCGACGATGCAAACTCTTTTAGGACTTGCCATTGCGCTGAGAATCTTCACCGGCTCCTTCGCTGAGTTACACACACTGACCTGTCAATCATCCGCAGAGCAGCGAGCGCACACTTGAGTGTTGTCCGTATAGGCCACGCCCCCTTGTGGTATTGGCCACTCAGAGGGCACAAATAGCTCTGTCGACTCCGCCCACTACCAGGTGGGTGTGTTTACGGAATCTCAAAACAAGTGATTCAAAGTTATGCACTTAAACAAACTATATTCTCAGTTGGCACAGGGACAAACTCAAAGCCAAGCTGTAACTTGACACTCAGCAAAAAATACAACCATAGACTGTGGAACACAATGCTGGATTTGTCTACTAGCTTAAGGACAAGCTGTAAAGCTTGTAATCTTTTTTTAAAATGAGCAATCAATAAGTTAAATTATTTAGTAAAATGTAGACACCCAAAGCCTGTCAAGAATGGAAATTGTGTTATATTGTAATGGTCTTCAAATAGCCAATGTTTATTCTTTATCTTTTGATTGTGTGAGGTGTTTATGTGAGATCCAATCACACATGGAGATAAAAAGATCAACAGATTTATAAGAATGGGACTTTAACAAAGGATCTGAGTGTCTTAAGATGGCAAAATGACCTTTGAACAATATAATCCTCTGTTAGGGAATAGGGAATACCAGAACAGCTCTCAGGGATGAAAGGTCAAAATTCAATGGAAGAAATGAGAGGAATTCCTCAATTCACAGTGAGCTTATGGATTTTTAAAAAAGGTGACAAAACTTGTGTTATTTTAGTTTTATTTCCATGAGATTAAACAATTATTTACATACACACACACACACACAATAAAATTTAAATACTATATGCTATACTATAATTAATTACTATATTCAATTAAACAAGTATAGACTATATATATTATATATAATGGTTATTTACAATCCTTGATTCTGTTTGGTCAATAGCTGTATTATTCACAATAAAACACGGTTGACACGCTTCACCCAAACTGTTCTATTTATTATTGCACAATAAACATTGCTGTTTATTGCAAAACATTGCAAAAAAAAGAACATTTCTGTTCACGGTCAGAGACTATTTTTTTTCTAGCATAAGGAAGTCTTTTAGTGATTTTACTTCATGAAAGTTGCATTAATACATCTTTTTTTTACTTTAACATTTTTATTGTCTAGTAGTAACCGTTTTATAAAAGCAATAACCCAGCAAACACAGAACGTTCCCCTAACGTTCCCGAATGGTACTCCTTAACTTACTCGACTGTATGGTGAATAAGTAGGCTAACGGCTGAAGGGGTTAGGCCTACTCGCTTTGCGTCGAGCCTGACAACAACGTCGAGCCGTAACTTATTCACGATAAAGCACAGCCTCTTACCTTATTGCTTAAATAAACATATACATATTCAGTTTAATTTTAAAGGTTTGGTAATTGTATGTTATTTTTAGAAGTAGTAAATATTTCTAGATTTCAACCTACACCGTGTCCTAACTACACGCGACGCCACGCCGCGACACGCGAAGTTTCTAATTAGAAACGGTTCCTTCTGCGTTATACGTGGCGGCTGACAGAATGAAGAAATTAAACTGGTTATGAGTAAACATTATTTATTTTTAGTTAAAAATAAGTCACTGTGCCACAAGCGAGAACGGATAATTTACCTCAGATTTTGAAAGCATATAATATAGCGTTCAAAATGAATTCTATGCAAACAGACAACTGTAGGCTACTTCATCACAAAATAATCAATGAGTAGGCTATATTTTGTTAATGTTTTGATTTTTAATAATGTTATTTCTTGATTTGATGATGTCCTTACCCATTTCCAATGCCAGTGCGGGCCAGCAGTCCGCTTTCACAGAGTCCGCTCACACTGTTCTGATGTGTGGCGTCTCACAGTCGCGTCGCGTCTAGTGTGGACACGGTGTTAGTTTTAGTCATTTTAAAACTGACACTATATTTTCTTTTTTTTCAGAACTTATTTCACAACTTTTCACATTCTATTGCACGTGCACACACACTGTTGTTGTGTTTTCATGTTTTATGGGGACTTTCCATAGACATGACTTTTATACTGTAACTATTCTCAACCCTTCCACTGACCCTACTCATCACAGAAAACGTTCTGCATTTTTACATTTTCAAAAAACATCACTTAGAATGATTTATAAGCTGCTGTCCTCGACTCGTGGGGACTAAAAATGTCCCTACAAGGAAAATAATTTAGGATATTGGATATTGCCATCTTTGTCCCCATAATGTAACTTTGACACCTCCCCAAACATACACACAATAAACAGGGCATCATTTTATGCATGTTTATTCATAAAAACAAACAAACATTTTATTACAGCCACATGATAAACATCAAAATAATACAGAAATGAATCAGCTGGAAAAGTCTGATTTACATATTAATACCGTTTTCCACCTTTTCAAGGAAATACTGAAAATTGATGGTGTGGTTTTTCTGAAAAGACACCACAGATGTCTGCTGTATATGAGATTAATATAGTGTCTCAAATGTAAACCCGACGTGAAAAAATAGTCATAATCTACCATATTGCACAACAAATCACTGAATTCTATCTGCTCACATTTGACACATCTACCTAATGCGTCAGAGACTTAAAAATACTTGATTTCCTTTTAAAAAATTCCTGACACCCTGTTGCTCCAACTTTTCGTCATCCATTCTAGAAAGAATCACACGTAATATAACATGCGGAAAGACAGCCGTTCACACAGAACACGTTTTTCCATTCCACTGCGCTACTTTTACATTGTTTTTTAATGCAAACTCGTGCTAGACTGACGTCTTTAACCGTTGCGCTCGCGTCTGTAGTGTCTCTAAAAAACACCCTGCACTCTTTTTCGTTCAAATTTAACAGCAAAAACTCGTTCTGTGTGAACCTAACAAACAAACAAACTCATCCATGCACTTGCAGTCAAGCTTGCACAAACACACACACGCAGAGCAATGGCACACAACGTTAACAGACACATTTACAGACATGCGCACACACTCCAGCTCCCTTAACAAACGTGACACTGCAAACAAGCTCACATGCACCCCCTGGAAATATCTAGGGTTAGTCTCTCTGATCCGACATGGGCCGATGATATCATGCTCATATCAGAGCAAGTAGCAACTACAGGTCTTCAAACTGGTGTTCCCTCTTTCAACACCCTGTCTGTCACAATGCATTTACAGCCATAGCTATTAAGATACACAGAATTAATCAAACATGACACAGTATCCCCTCAAGCTAGACGCATTTCTGTTGCAAAAGGCCAGGCACACAAAGATCCAGCCGTTTAATTCATATTTAACTTTTGACATTCCTGTCGTATAGAGACAAAATCAAAATCGGCTTGTTCAGAAAACCACAAAACAGTTTTGGAAAAATACTAGAAAATTTTCATTCATAGGCATAAGAGAGAAAGAGAGAGTACAACCACAAGATGCCAGAACAATCTGTAGAAAACAACCGTGCTGGTGTCGCGATGCCATCTGCTAAAATGTGGAACATAATCGCAATATGACTGGCAGGCAAACAGCTGGAATATTGCGGGAATGTTAACGGAATTTACTGACATGGCATTTGACGTCGTCCAGGCTGAGTACAGTGCCGTGATCCGTGTTGTTGTTGTTGTGATGTTTCTTGTCGGAGCAGCGGCACAACCTGTATTTCATTACCTTGGCAGACAAAAAGTTAAAAAAGATGTTAAGGTGTTAAACCCTTAAACGTATTTTATAGTATATTTTTTCGCCGCAACAGTAATTCTCGAATCTCTGACGACTTAATAAGTGCAATTCACCTTTAATCCTCAAGGGTAAGCAAAACTTAAAGGAGTAGTTCACTTTTGAAAAAAATTTTGCTGATAATTTACTCACCCCCATGTCATCCAAGATGTCCATGTCTTTCTTTCTTCAGTCGAAAGGAAATTAAGGTTTTTGAAAACATTCCAGGATTTTTCTCCATATAATGGACTTCATTGGGAACCAAACGGCTCAAGGTCCAAAAGACACTTTCAGTACAAACTGCAAACTGTTCAAAGGGCTTTAAACGATTCCAGACGATGAATAAGGGTCTTATCTAGCGAAACGATCGTTCATTTAATAAATAAATGACAAAGTTTAAGTTTTATAAGCTCAAATGCTCGCCTTGCTCTGTTCTGTGATGCACGTTCATGACTCTCCAATGCACGAATGAACGAATCTTTTTCCGAGTCATTTGGTTCATTCAATGAACGAAACGAACAAATTGACTCGGAAAAAGATTTGTTCATTTTGATGAACGAGTTCGAACAGGAGAGTCATGAACGTGCTTCAGAACGGAGCAAGGCGAGCGTTTGAGCTTATAAAACTTAAACTTTGTTATTTATTTATTAAATGAGCGATCGTTTCGCTTGATAAGACCCTTATTCATCGTCTGGTGTCGTTTAAAGCCCTTTGAAGCTGCACTGAAACTGTCTTTTGGACCTTGAACCGTTTGGTTCCCATTAAAGTCCATTATATGGAGAAAAATCCTGGAATGTTTTCATCAAAAACCTTAATTTCTTTTCGACTGAAGAAAGAAAGACATGGACATCTTGGATGACATGGGGGTGAGTAAATTATCAGCAAAAGTTTTTTCAAAAGTGAACTACTCCTTTAAAATGGCTCAGCGATTTACAGCAGACCAAGACTGCGATTAAATATTAGGCATGTTTACACAACACCGTTTTGGACGTTCATTTACAAAAAATAAAAGTATTTTGAGGGCCTGAAAACCAAAACTTTTAAAAACAGGTTTCAAAGTGCATGTTTTTGAAACCAATAGCATTATTGTCTCAGTGTAAACTACAAAAATGTGAAGTTATAAAAGGTCACAAAATATGCTTTATGTATTTCTTTACATTATAAATGTCTTTACTGTCACTTTTGATAATAAACTGAATAAAAATATTAATTTGTTTAAAAAACTCTTAATGACCCCAAGCTTTTGAACAGTTGTGTTGTGTAGTTTTGAACAACCATGTTGCCATTTTGCGTCAAGAGATTTTTAGTAAATAACTTTATTAACATGATGAGCATGAGCAGATTTAAACAGAATAAACTGTAAAAATGTCATTAGTCAAATAAAACCAAAACCCAGCAGAAATCTTTATGACCGGACAGCATTTATACTTGTTCATAAACCTTACCTCATAAAGATAGTCAAAAAGCTCCAGAATCGTAAGAATACTGGCTCCAATGAAAAGCCCCATCTGTCCTCCGATATCACCTACCAACACAAAAACACACAGAGAATGAGCGGAAGTGATAGAAATCAGCTCATATGACAATTTTTACTATATACTTGGTGAGACTTCTTCCAAAAACATAAAAAAATCGTAATCTGAAGACCAGTTTAAAGGTAAAATATGTAAATCTGATCACTTATAAAAGTAATATCTCTCATCAAGAAGTCGCAAGACTTGAGATAAAGTATCATTTGTACAAATGATGCAAGACTAGTTAGCATACGCTATTAATAATAACTAAGTATCCTGTGACTTACCCAACAGACCAGCCACCTCATAGGCTTTCCTCTGCTCGATGGTTTCATAGTTCAGAGCCTCAAAGAACACGTCCAGCACCAGGACATTCTCACTGACGACACACACAGTTCATCAATTAAGAAATGTTCAAACACCCGTCGCTGCGATGGAGAACAGACACGACAAGTTAACTGAACACTCACGTTATGTACTTCTCAGATTTGCTGTACTTCTTTGCGAGGTATTTGACGGACGCTTTGCTGGGGATCTTGACGAAGGACAGCTCTTTACTGTAGCGTGTGATGTTGCACGGTGTCTCGCATGAGCAGTAGTCGCTGTCTGTCTCCACAAGGAAATCTTGTAGAGAAATAATCGCATTGCAAACAAGATTTTTAAAGCCTGCTCATTTTGTTTTGGAGGATTCCTACAGTAGATTTACATGCATTTAAGGGAAAAAATATCTATATTATTTTCTAATAACACACATTTTAACATCAGCTCATTTCTCAGTGTCTGAAATTTAAATTATAGTGATAAAGTACCTTTTACAGCTATAATTCACACTACATGGGAAAAAAAAGCTTAATAGGGACACTTTAATGAAGTGACATTGCGTTATGATAAAAGTTACTCACCAAGTGCTGGATGTCCACATTCTTTATATAGCACAGGGGTGCAGTAAGGCGCATCACCTGCGGGGGCAGCACATGTCTAAGCGTCATTATTGGGATTGTTTGCCCACAATCATTTTCTCCCTCATGTTGTCCAAACCTGTATGTCTTCTAGACAGGAACGAAATGTTTACACCGAATTGATGTTTCCCAACGCAAAGACGTTGTGAGGCTTCAGAAGACTTGAATTTATTGTGTTTTGTGTCATATGGGTTTGGAAGGACATGAGGAAGATTAAATAGTGATTTATTACTATCATTCCTGTGTGAACTCAGGTGTTCAGAGCTCTTGTGATTTCCACCTTTTGTCAAAAAAGTGACAAAAGAAAATTGCAAAATTGCTCAATTTGAAAATATTAAAATAAGAGCTAACTCAAAATATGAACAAATCCTTTATTACTATAAATGAAGAGTTCAGATGCAAAAGCCTCTAAATGCCATTTGAAATTTTCTTCTTTAATGATGATTTTTTTTTATCAAACTTGTATATTTAAGTTCAGTAATTTCACTTAAATAACAATTAATAGGTAATTATCATTGCCATTTAAGTGAAATTACTGAACTTAAATATACAAGCTTGATAAAAATCATTAAAGAAGAAAATTTCCAATGGCATTTAGAGGCTTTTGCATCTGAACTCTTCAAATAATACTAAAATAACACTGGGTGGTAAATGCACATGAAAAATCAAATTCATTTTGAAATTTTACTTCACTGTAACTAACATTAAGTAAAACGACATGGTCAAAACTTTAACTTAATTAACACGCAACCCTGCTTAATTCCTTTTTAATATTAAAAACCTCAAGCACTCACAATTATTAAATCCTCTTGCAATGTTCATGTGCATCATAATGAATATTCAATGGCCAGAATCCTTCGGGTTAAAAACCCACACTAATACATGACAATTTCGCCTCTTATAATCACCTAAATTGCATTTCTTTGCCTGTGGCGGTCGAACAGGAGCAGGTTTTATTTGGTTTCACTGGCTTGAGTTGTGAACTCGCTTTTTAAGAGGGAGATACTAAAAGTACCAATAAAATACCAGCTATAATGTTATAAATGTGACTGTTAAACAATTATAGTGACTATAATCAAGTATATGCACAATCATTAAAGACTAAATTGTTATGTGAAGATGAGGATCTATGGTGTCAGTCCCATTACAAACACAACAGACTGAAAATCAACTTTGGTATTATCAAGAGCTCATTACTTACTGAAAACATATTTATTTATGTATTATTTTAGTGTTTGTTGATGTTTGGAATTATTCAATTCATTGTATAATTTATTATTTGTTATAAATTTATTATTATTCATTTTAACATGTATTTCGCATGCATAACGCATCGAGCTATTTATTCGATAATGTGTTTCCATCATAGTCTTCTCATTGGATAAAAAAAAAATATCTACCTCAATTGAGCGCATTCGTTTTTATGCACATTTGTAGAATTTATGCACATCTTGGCATTTCTATCCATTTCTTTATGCATGATCCCTGGCAACACTGATAGACAGTGGATAAAGCAATTGCAACGTCTCATTTCACAACACAGACAACAAATGATCCTGTTCACCATTTCATCACCCCGATGGACTCTTTTGAACTGTCATTATAGTAACTGCAGCATTAGAGTAAAATACTTCTGATTTTGTACCGCCCATGCCAAATGAATGTCAAGAGCCGCTGTAATTGGTGCAGTGACTCACCGGGCATATGCACCATACGGCAGTTGCAGTTTTCCACCAGGTAGCGCGTCTCACAGTCTGTTCGACAGGCGCTGATGCTGTACGCTTTGAAATAATCCGAGCTTGGCGGGGACGACTTGCAGCTCCCCCACGGAGCAGGAAGGTACATCAGCTGAAACGTAAAAAGCATGAGTCAAATGAGTCAAGAGATCCATTTAAAGCGCATATCAACACCACACCTACTCGCTGCTCTTGGCAGGAAACGAACGTCTGGAATCCTGGAGCAACTCCGAAGCCCAGCTGATCTATAAACGGAGGCTCGTCCTGACTGTGAATCTGAACTTTGATTCCCGCCTCAAATGACGACTCATCTGTGAGAGAAAATGAGCGAGAGTGAGAGCGAGGATGAGAGGATAGCGCGTACCCGGTGTTTTAATCACGTGGTCTCACTTGTCTCTCCCCACACAGGTAAATATTCATCCTGCTGAATGTCCAACATGATCTCCAGGCCGTTTCCCATCCCTCCCTTCACGCTGATCTGCGGTGGGCCGGTGTCACCAGAGTTAAAGCTGTAACACTTCCCGTAACGCGTGAACACCTGAAAGCACACACAAAAGAAGCAATTTTATTGGCAATAATTTTGCTGCTTCATATTTTTTGTAAGGATTCTTTGACGAATAGAAAGTTCAAAAGAACGGCACCTTTTTAAATATTAAAAATTGTGCAATTTAATGCATCTTTTTTCTTCTAATTTTATGAACCACTGAAATTCATTCATATTTGCATAATATTTATCATTTAAAGCTTCGTTCTTAACGTGGAACAGATGGTTGCATTTGATTATTTTCGTTCAGTCAGTCAGAAGAGACGTGCAGCCAGACTGAAATGATCTGAACCCAATAAAATGGTATTTCAAGAGCTGTAGCAATTCTTTAGTAGTAAAAATCTCTATTCTCCCAAACTGACTTGAGACATAAACAATGTGGCATAAAAAAAGAGAAAAGTTCACTGTAGACCTGCTGAGAGTTATTAAACGGAGCCTGTTCCTATGGAAACAAAGACCCAAGTGTAAAAAAACACAGAAACACACACACACTAAGCTCTGTCCTCTTGCTGTGCTCTCTTTGATGCGTTAATTAAACATTTAAAGTGTTTTCAAGACATTTCCCTTCGAGCACAACTGCATCTGATTCTGTTGAAAACATAAGGAGAGATCCTGAGAGATTTTATCCTGTCAGACCAGATCAAACCACCCTGCTGTCCACATCAGCATCTATTAGTGTCCCAGTGTGCCTCACACAAACAGTCCGCATCAATACTGCAAATCCTGACACAAAAACATCCCTGTGTGACGTCAACCGAGCCTCAATGATCAATAAGTGACTTTTTTTCAAAAACAGATAACACTTTTTCTGTAAAACTGCTTTGAAACAGGAAATATTGTTCATATATGAGTCATATGACAATGTTTGGTCTTGTCGGATTAGATCTGCTCTAGTCTGCTGCTGCAGCTTCTGTGAGCAAGTAGAACATGCTGTTATATGTGCAATGTAGGGATACACTAATTACCCATAGCTGATCTATACAGGTGGAGCTGGGGAAGGTGGAGGGTTTCTCTTTCCAGAGAAAATGCTGACCTAGTACATTATTTGAAGGTTGAGCAGCAAGCTCATTGGTAACTGACACAGCAGTAACCAATCAGCTGTGCCTTATAAGGTGTGGCCCCTTTCAGAGCTGCGCGCTCCCTGTTGAACTCTCTGCAGTGTTATATGTGCGCCTAGAACACCCCATGTGTGCGGGTAATTTCTGTTTGATGCTACTTCTTTTATCTTATGATGTTTATTAAGTAACGATGTGACAGTAGAACGTGTGAGACAGTTATACGAGTTCGATTTGTGAGATGTCAATCGCCTCCGTGAGTCTGTCTGTCGTCGCGTAATTGCGTCACTTCATAACGTTCCCATGGAAACAGGGGGAAATGGCTGCTCTTGTGTGAAGCAAACGCAACATTTTTCAACTTTCTGCTAAGATACATGTGACTTTTTTTGCAACAAAAATGCGAGGATTATGAAATTATGCAAACCCCGCATATTTTGCACGGAAATCGGCAATTTATGCGGCGAAAGTGCGGCGTATTTGAAAAAATGCGGCCCCCGCATAAATATGCGGAGTTTGGCTGATTTTGCATTGAATTCAGCGATCGCATAATCGCGTTTTTCTGGAGGGACTGTATAGAGAATCATGTGATTGCAAGCAGATTGAGTTTGACCTATCAGTCTGTGCCAGCAAGAGTTTCATGACAGGACTGTATTTAATGCATTAACCGTTGTTAAATAATGGGACCTAATTATAAAGTATGAAAAAAAAAAACTGGTTTTCATCCTTAGGCAAAAATACTGGTAAGTCTGGTTGCTTAGAAAAGTAATAGGGTGCAACTTCTAGCCAAGTCTCACAAATAAGCAACAACCTAGCAACCACCGGAACACCCCAATTTTTGCATAGCAACACTCAGAACATCTGAGCAACTCAATAACAATGCAGTGCAAGCAAGCAACACTCACATCTGAAAAAAAAAATGCATAAGTTTTGAAATTACTGCATAAGAATAGCATGCTAAAAAAGGAACAAACATTGTCTTTGCCTTATTTTTTTGTCATCATCAACAAATTAAAGTACATCTGAGAGGCTAACTGAGTTAAAGATGCCTAGATTAGTCAGTTCAAATACTGAAAGACTATCAATGGTCTTCATTCTTTATGCAAACGACCCCCTCACCATCTTCCGGTCTCTCCTTCGGCAACACTTTGGAGTCCAATTAGCCGTCATGATTAGCTATAAACATCATTTACGTGGGGTGGGAGCACGGACGGCATGCAAAGGCACTTTAATCACTGTCTCATTATCATGTGTGATTATTTAATTTATTGCACAATAATTTATTCACCAGCAACTGAAGATCTGAAACTAAGTCTTATATATGGTTTTCTTTTATGCTCAATAAGGTTGCATTTATCTCATAATAAAAAACTGTAGCAATAGTTTGACATAATATTACAATTTAAAATAACTGTTTTCTGTTAATATATATATATTTAATGTAATGTATTCCTGTGTAATCAGCAGTCTTCAGTGTCACATGATCCTTCAGAAATCATTCTAATATGCTGATTTGCTCCTCAAGAAAGATTTCTTATTATCAATGTTGTAAACAGTTGTGCTGCTTCATTTTTTCTTGGCTGAATAGAGAGTTTGGTAACATTATTAAGGTCTTTACTGTCACTTTTGATTATTTTAATGAGCCTTGCTGAATAAAAGTTTTATTTATTAAAAAAAACCTCATTTAACGTTTATGTATAAACGTTATGCAAATTCAGAATCGATTAAATTGATTTTACAGGGTTGATCGATTGAGCTTGACAAATTCGGTTAACAAAATGATGGAACATGATTATTGACTTGATTTCCCGCCATGTGGTAGAAAGAGTCCAAATAATGTAAATTGTTGGGTTAGAATTTTAAATACTTTTACAGTTATTGAAATGGAGGGAATTGTAATTGTTTAAAAATATTGTTACTACAATTAATTGAATATAAATTCAACATAAAATGTAAAAATTATGACATGCTTTACAGGCCAAAAAACTCTGTTGTGTTTTAAAACCAACAAAAAAAAAATTGAGATTTTTCTTATTAGGCCTTCAAATATTATTGTTGACAATAGGGCGCCTTCAAGTCAAAAAGGTTGAGAGCCACTGTTTTAAAACTAGCTACTTGTGGGAGAACTTTTTAATAGGTCTCACGACAGAAAACAGTAATGCATCACCAAGCGCATCCTATCTGTGGAAAGTGCCAAATAAAGCAGTTTGGAGAGTGTATAAACAGCATTTGAGCCGAATGACTTCAGTCATCAAGGCCAATGAAGCAAGCAATTCCCCTCCCAGAACGAAACCCACCAAGCATTTAATTGTAGCCACACAGGGCTGGAAAAAAAAAATCCAAAGCACAAAATAGGAGCAGGCTGGTCGTGAAAATAGACCAAGGAGAGCCATCCCTCGAACTCCATTAACAATTAGCCTACAAAAAGTCTGGTGCACTTCACTGGGCTATTTTTTCCCAAAGCACTGAGTCAGTGAAGAAGACACAGATAAAGAATAGAATGTCCCAGACGCTCTCTCACACATCACACCAAATCTAATATTTAACACTGACCTATTTTAAAGCCGGCTGGAGTTTTCCCCGCTGTGGGAGTTTAAAGACCCGCCTGAAGCAAATGGGATTGCTTTTCTTCAAAAGCCTGGCAATGAAGGTGAAGATAAAATCATCGGGGGATAAGAAACATGCAGAGGTTTTTCGGGGAGACTCTTTGCACATCAGGGAACTACTAATACTGTTATACAAGCATTTATATTTAGAGATGTAGAAATCCCTGTACAATACGCTCATGTTGGCATTTGGGTAAGTAGGGCATTATCACCAACACGCCGCACAAAAGATTTCAGATGCTTCAGTCGGGGATGGGGGAGTCAGTTCCACATGTCGCCATGGAAACTTGGAGAGAAACATGGTTACATCATCAAAGTAACCTTTTCAGCAACACAGTGTCATAGTGAACTCTTGCTCCAATGCTCATTTTCAGTAATGAGCTGCTGCTCACATCTGCTCTCATCGCTTACAGTTACAATTCTAGGTCTGAGTCACCGCAAAAACAATACTATAGCTGTGGTTTCGGACGGTACAACCACGGTACACGGATACACGGTTGTAATCGATAATATTCAACCCCCATTGCAAATCAGGTTTATTGGCAACATTTTCAGACTTTCAGCTGTTTGCAAATGAACAAATCAAACAAAAGAAATTGAAATAGCTCAACAAAACTAATGAATGACTGCAGTCTCGAAAATGTTCAACCCCCTGAATAGAATCCCTCACTACAGCACAAATCTGCAAAACAGCACACCTGATGCAACAAACCAAGGGCTTGATTAGTTGCACCAGGTGTGCTTGAGCAAGAACACATGAAATATCTGAACTGGCTAGGTTTGTTGAGTGTCAAGTTTGACCTCATGTTAAAGAATAGTCCAAAAAGTTCAGAGAAAATAGCATCGCCATTCACAAACAAAGAACACAAAAAGATAGCAAAGGCACTAAATGTTCCTAAAGCTGAAGTTTGGGTGTCATTGGACCTTCTATACTTCAAATTGCACCAAGGCTTGGTTTCAGAAAAAGTCCTTGAAGACTGTGAACTTGCAGTCACCTGGCTTAACCCCCAGAGAAAATATCTGGTGGGATTTGAAGAAAGGCAGTCGCAACACACAAACCCAAGAACATTACTGAACTAAAGGCCATTGCTCATGAGGAATGGGCTAAGATTCTTTTAGAAACGCTGCCAGAAGCTGGTGTCTGGTTGTACATCTTGTTTGCAGCAGGTCATAACAGCAAAAGGGTTTTCTACTAAGTACTAAAGATGCTTGCCATGAAGGGGCTGAATATTTTTGAGACTGCAGAAGTCATACAGTTGCATACAGTTGAATTTGGGGAAACTATTTCTAAGCTATTTCAAAGTTTACTTTTCTTTATTTGTTCATTGCAAACAGCTGAAAGTCTGTACATTTTGCCAATAAACCTTATTTACAATGGGGGTTGAATAATTTCGATAACTGTATGGTACTGAATGATTACCACATGCATGTATCATGGTATTTCCATGGTAAGTACACTTTAAAGAAATCAGGATTGGAGTGTTTTACATCCTTTCTACTTCAAAATGTCAAGTTTAATTTAATGTGTTACTTACTTATGCGTAGTTATTCATGAAATGTATAAGCAATTTATGAGTGAAAAGATTTTCAAAGTGTTCTTGCCTGACATCAATTCACTACGATAAGCCTACAATAATTTTGCAGTGCTTGTCTGATTTTAAAGAAAGGATCATGTGTTCTTGAGGAGCAAATCAGCATTTGAAGGATCATGTGACACTGAAGACTGGAGTAATGATGCTTAAAATTCAGCTTTGCATCACACACAGGAATAAAATCCATTTTTAAATATATTGAAATAGAAAACAGTTATTTTAAATTGGAATAATACTGTTTTTACTGTATTTTTGATCAAAACTATATAACATAAGAGCTGCAGTTGCATAAGACCCCAAACTAGTAAACCGTAGTGTATAAATTAACCCGCTGTAATGTTTTGAATGCACGTCCTGTGTGTAGACTCTCCCGTTCACACAACAGCCGCTCTAAATGCATGCAAACTCAACTGAATTGACAGCTCTCTGGCCCAAACCTCTCTCACACTAGCCTCAGGCCATCTCATTGAGCCCTGGTTTTGCCATGTTGCTGGATACATAAAAGAAAATGGGTTTTTTCAGTACTTTTTGTTAGTGTCGTGAAATGAAAGCCATAAAACAACTCAACAGCACAATGTGAACCCTGGGAAATCTCGAGAACTACAAACTTCATTCCAGCAGCGTAAATGATTGGACTGTCAAATATCACACCCCAGCATTTGGATGAAACCTAGAAAAAGCCTCAGCCTCCGGCTCTCTCAGTACACCAGAGAGATTCGCATCAAATAAATACACCAGGGCTGCAGTATTGGGGCTTGAAGTGAAAAGAGCTCAAAGAAATCTATCACTGTGCATCCCTAGAGTTTCTCACCACGCTGAAGTCTTCGGGTCGGCACGGCGAGCCTCGGAACTGGCAGGACAGCAGCATGTCTTTAATGTCGTGTCCTGTTCTATTATAAAACTCCCACATGTTGAAGTGTCGTGGCTTGAATAGGCGAAAGTCCGCTTTGCTCTTGAGAACCTCCATCACGCTTTCTTCAACCAGGTGAGAGTCCCGAATCTCATGTCTACGGAGACACAAAAATAGCAAGAATTCACTCTTAAAAATAATAATAAGTTTTATTGCAGCAAGGACCATTTCAAGTTCCCCAAATAACTGAAATAATTCACTGAAACAAAACTGCTTTGTTCACAAGACGATGAATAAGTGTCTTATCAAGCGAAACGATCGGTCATTTCAAAAATAAATAAAAAAGTTTAGGTTTTATATCTGTTCCGTGATGAGCGTTCGTGACTCTCCCGTTCAAACTCGTTCATCAACATAAACAAATCTTTTTTCGAGTCATGACTCGAAGCGTCCTAGATAAGACCCTTATTCATCGTGTGGGGTTGTTTAAAGCCTTTTGAAGCTGCAGTGAAACTTTAATTTTGACCTTGAACCGTTTGGTTCCCAATGAAGTCCATTATATGGAGAAAAATCCTGGTATGTTTTCATCAAAAACCTTAATTTTTTTTTGACTGAAGAAAGAAAGACGTGGACATCTTGGATGACATGGGGGTGAGTAAATTATCAGCAAAAGTTTTTTTTTTTTAAAGTGAACTACTCCTTTAAGTTGAAATAGTTGCCAAGTGCCCCTTTAACAGGCAGGTATGACGTCACATTCATATCATCGTATTCGACGGACCGAATAAAATGATTGGACAAATTGATACTACTTCTATTATTTACTGCTCTCAGGATGTGAAAAGAGTTTCAACCAGTATAACAAAAAGTGTTTCTGAAAAAAAATGACCCACCCTACTAATAGCAACAGTGACAACATGAATAACTCAGAATGAAATCTCAAATTGACTACACTCATAATAACTGAGCGCAAATAATGGCACAATGTTAATATTTATTTTGTGCCCATGATGCAGCACAGCTGTGCATGTTCCTTTCAGGATGATGAATAGTCAAGGTTAAGTCCCTGCAAACATGTCGAAAAGTGCCACACCGACACGAATAGAGAATAAAACTGAGAAAGAGAGAGTGTGTGTGAGCACTTGGAATGCAGAGGCAGGCATGCCTGAAGTCCAATTCAAACCCACATCACATCACAGCTGCTGGGTGTTACAACACTGCAGTAACTAAATCACGACTTCCTGATGCCAGATGGAAGCAGATCCTGTCCCTACAGCCAAAGATTTCATTTTTTGAATAATGAAGTTGCAGCTCCACAATCCAAAAAAGACCTGCCACATCGGCCGTATCACAATCTACGGGTCACTTTCCTAAATTAAAATGGAAAAATAATCAGACTGCATCTTTCAACTTGCCAGAAAAGCACTCATGGGCTCCATACGACAAGATGGAGATGTAGGAAATATATAACTTGAGTAACAGGGACTCCCCCAGAGCTCTGCATTTTCATTTCCGCTCCTCAAGCTCAATAAAAACATGCTAATCATTTACACTCCAGTGTGCTTGTGTGCGTTCATGCGGGGAATACGAGAGCATAATCTACTGCGCGAGTGACTCATGCTCAATTTTAAAACTTAACCACGGCCGCTTGATTGATACGCACGTGTTCACCAACCTTGAGTTCAGCAGCGCCAGCAACTCTCCCGCGTGGTACAGGTCATTGCGTGAGATCCTGCTGAAGCGGATGGAGTTGAGATTGCAAATCGTCACTGCGGGGAAGACCATGACGGGCGTCGTGATCTCGTCAAGCTTGGTGACGTGAGGGTATTCCAGGTAGAACTGAATCCGGTCGACGCAGACGTACATGAGAAAGGTCAAAGAGCTGAGGAAAAACACCACCCAGAGGCAGCATTTGGCCGTGATCTTCTCATAAGAGAAGATGTGAGAGATGCCGTGCAGAGTCGAGGTGTGAGCGAACACTTGCAGGGGAGGCGGCTGGTCGTAATCAATGTCCATAGGTTCCACTTTAAGATCCATCGTTGATGTTTTAATTGGACAGTTCTTCCAATGCAAAGCTCTGAAACTCTCCCTAAGACATTAAACATAGAAAGACAATTTATTTCCATAGTTCCCGTGACCATAAATGAGTCATCATACAGCAAAGTCATTTTGGGATGCAGCTCGGTCAAAGTTAAATAATAAAAAAAATATTCAACGCTATCTCACGACCAATTCGTACAAATTCGTACGAGTGATTAAAAGGTGGCGAATTCATACTAATTCATACAACCTCACTCGTACGAATTCGTACGAATTGGGGGCGGGGTCAGGGGTAGGTCATTCGTACGAATTCATATCGTAAAATATGTACGATTTAGCAAAAATCATACTAATTTGTACGAGTGAGGTCGTACCAATTGCTACGAATTAGCCACCTCGTAAAATTCGTACGAATTCCCGTGAGATCGGGTTGGAATATTGTAGTGATTACTGTGTTAAATAATAAAAAAATATTCAACGCTATCTCCCGACCAATTCGTACGAATTCGTACGAGTGATTAAAAAGTGGCAAATTCGTACCAATTCAAACAACCTCACTCGTAGGAATTCGTACGAATTGTATAAACCCACGTGATGGTTAGGTTTAGGGGCGGGGTTAGGGTAGGTCATTCGTATGAATTCATACGAATTGGCCAATTTGTAAAATATGCAAAAATCTTACTTATTTGTAGCCTACAAGTGAGGTTGTACCAATTGTTACGAATTAGCCACCTCGTAAAATTCGCACGAATTCACTTGAGATCGGGTTGGAATATTGTAGTGATTACTGTGCACATCATTATATTTTTTTTAAATCACGTGTCCTTTTGATCTTTCCCTCCCACTCACAGAGACTTTTCTTCTCTTCTCTGATGACGTGTTTATGGGCAACCTGTCACTAACATAACATCCACCAATGGCAAACCACAACCATCAAATCAATTCCTCATGGACAAAATCAAGTACCGTCCTATATTTTTTCTTGTTCGAAAAGCCGTTTCACTCGGATATACTTTGGGAAGAAAAGTTTATCGCAAATTCTGTCTCATGCCAACTTTATGCTGGGCTGTTAACTGAAAGGCTGTGGGTTCAAATTCCACAAGTGTTGATCCATGAAATGTCACTACTTGTTCTTGACAGTGTTACTGCAACATTTCTCATTTTCATTAAAGTTGTTCTTTCAATGTAATATTTATATATTATTCCCGTTTTATTTGAAGTAACAAAATATTTTTTTAGTTTGAAGATTTTAAAGAGTTTCACCAAAAAACGTAAATCTGTCATTATTTACGCTCATGTCGTTCCGTTCTGTTCATCTTTGGAACACAAATGATGATCTTTCTGATGAAATCTGAGAGCTTTCTTTTCCTCCATTGACAGCTACGCAACTTTAACACTTTAACTCTTCATTTTTGGGTGAACTATCCCTTTAAATACTTACTAATCAGCAAACACAAGGTCATCTTGGCATCTCCAGCTCCAAATATCAGGGGTTTTCAACAGATATTGTTTCATCTCAACCAAGTTCAGCTAAATGTTTAATTTGCATAGAGAAATGTAGGAAATTGAAATGTAATGAACAAGTAGACCTATAAGATTTTGTACATCACATCAAAACTCAAATTACGATAGATCTCTACGATAGTTCCTTCCATATAGTTCAGACACGTAGACAGCATGTAGGGGAAAATCTGCTGCCCACGCCAACTTAGCCAATACCGACCAACTGACAAGAACATCTCAAAATCAAAACGACGTATTTCCCACACGTAAAATACACACTTTTAAAATAAATAAATAGAGAATTATTTAATTTTGTGGCATGATAAAGCAAGCAAGCACCCCTATCAATATGAAAATATACAAAAAATATACAATAATAAATAATTTAGGCATAAGCCTACTTTACCATTTAAATTACCACATGTTTATATTATAGACATAAATCATTTAAAAGGTAGGCCTAAAATATGCATAAATTATTTATTTTATGTTTAATTAGTAAAGCTAAAACAATAGTTATCATGCATTGCAATCCAATGAGAATCATCCTTCAGAATCAAAGGCAAAACATCTTAAGGATATGTAAAAAGTGCTTAATTGTCATGTTACAACTCATAAATATTAAAGAAAGAAAAATATTTTTCATTTTTGATGTTGGGGTGAAATGTGACCCGAACATGTTTTCGTGAGATCCACCTTTTTCCAGGTGAAACGCGCCAAATCACGCGTCGGTTTTAGGCTATTACTCAACAGAATCCAACAGACCATCAAAGCGCGCGACCGTGATCGTAACAGTAGCGTTCACTTGTAGCGTTTACCTGAAACACTTCAGAAAGATGCTGGACACAGATGGAAGTTATCCGTGCAGAAATCAGCCGATCTCGTCGTCCACCCGACAGACCGATGGAAACCCATATCTGTGATGAAATGATGATTCGCGTGTGCTGGATGATCTCTCTCGTGTCACGATCCTGAAGCTCTAATGGCTGAAGCTGAAGCCAAGGATCGTGAGTCTCTCTCTCTCTCTCTCTCTCTCTCTCTCTCTCTCTCTCTCTCTCTCTCTCTCTCTCTCTCTCTCTCTGTCAGTGTGTGCGAGTGCGAGAGAGAGTGGGAGGGTAATTATGAATGCATAGAGAGCTAGTAGCCTACTAGATATAAGAAAACGTAGCTACCACAATCATGTGTACATGTACCATGGTTATGCCACGTTTTGAAACAAAAATGGCAGTATCGTAGTTTTTACTTGTTACAAAACAACGAACTATCATGGTAGCCTACATGATGTAGTGATGGCCTTAGATGGAAATACAGTAGCCTACTGAAATCCATCACGATATTTACCATGGTACCACTATATGGTAGGCCTATATGTACAGAATACTTTGGTAATATAATATAAATATGCAGGCAGGCTACCATGTCCAAGTAAATAAATCAAATATGGTAGCCTACTTTTGGACAAGTTTTGGAATATTTTATTTTTTTACAACATACAGTACCTTGGTATTAAGTATTGGACTATGCAAATTCTATCTATCTATCTATCTATCTATCTATCTATCTATCTATCTATCTATCTATCTATCTATCTATCTATCTATCTATCTATCTATCTATCTATCTATCTATCTATCTATCTGTCTATCTATCTATCTGTCTATCTGTCTATCTTCTATTTTTTCAGTTTGGTATATCCCTATGCCATAATATTGTGGTACCTATACTATCAAAAAGGAATCGAAAACATTACAGAAAAAATACAAATCTATTGTATTATACTCTCATTTCCTGTATCTGATCTTTCTTAATGAGTTTACAGTAATCCGAAAAATAACCCTCAAACAATAAACCAGTATATGGGTTTGTATACGGATCCTACGCATGACATCTTTGTATAAATGGCCACATATGATATCTTAGCTGCTGTATAAATATTCATCTCTTGAGATTAAATATAAATGATATTTTTTAAGTGCATCAGGAGAGAAGTGCCCACATCAATCTGACAGGTTTATGGCGTTGGATATATGGCTCATGTCATCACACACACGTACACACACACACACACACTCAGAATCTGTCTAATGTGGTTAAGTCAAGAGAATGAAGCACTGTGTGCTACGTCCATGTAATATGCTTTATTTAGTTAAAACACTACATCTCCTTTCACTTGTTCTCTGTTACACATGACTCCTATTGTTTTGGTGTCTGAGCTTAATACATGCTTTTAAAGTCCTTGAACTCTGTGTCTAATGCATGGTTACACTACGCCTGTTTTAGTCTCCTGTCTACATGGCCAGACATTTGTTCATGGGGCCACTATAGGCTAAATTGATTATTTACATTGACAATAATCAGAAAAGTTTCTTGCGTAAAGGGTTAGTTCACCCAAAGATGAAAATTATAACAACTCAGCCTCATGTCATTCCAAGCCCGTATAAGACCTCCGTTCATCTTCAGAACACAGTTTAAGATATTTTAGATTTAGTCCGAGAGCTTTCTGTCCCTCCATTGAAAATGTATGTATAGTATACTGTCCTTGTCCAGAAAGGGAATAAAGACATCATCAGTGGGTTAGTTACAATTTTTTTGAGGCATCGAAAATACATTTTGGTCCCAAAAAAAGCAAAAACTACGACTTTATTCAGCATTGTATTGTATCTGTTGTCGAGCCGCGTTCAGTGATGACGTAAGACGCTGCTGATTTCTGAAGGATCATGTGACACTGAAGAAGACTGGAGTAAGGATGCTGTCATCACAGGAAGAAATGGCATTTTTAAAGGTTTTTTACGTAAATTTTAATACAATTTCATAATATTACTGTTTTTACTGTATAGGCAACATTTGGATTTAAAAACGAGGGGGGCAAGAATCAAAACTCCAAATGATGTCAAGTGTATGAAATCATGTTTATTTGTAATTTATGTACAGCACAGTTGTGAACTATGACACGGGCGGAGTCAAATGTGAGCAGATGAGGGCGGGGTCACAGAGTCTCTGGAAATCATTGCTTCTCTTCCTTTGGCTGTCCTGTGACGGGAAGACAAAAAGACAGAACCATTGACTGGAAACATACAGCAAGTGTAATAAAATCCCATTATCCCTGAGAGCAAGATAGAAATGTGCAATCTTCTCTCTCATTTGTGTCAAGATGTTGTATTTCTCACACACACTATTGATTTGTCAGACAAACGTTTGCCATGAAAACCAAGTTACATTTCAGTTTGTTAGATATTTTGCTAAAATGTATTATTTATAGAAGTGTTTTGACATTTATGCTGTTTAATGCACCTCTGAAATGTCTATTGTGACCATTTACCTCCTTGCTTTTTGGTGTCCTCTCCTTTCTGATCACCTTTCTTCGGCTGCTCCTTAGGACTCTGAGGTTGCTGTATGGAAGACAAGAAAATCGAAATTCAATCTCAAGAAAGCAATTAAAGATTAATTATGCATGTATGCGCAATGAGTCTGCTGTGGGCAATTTTTACCTTGGTAGCGGATTTCTTATCCGCCTTGTTACCTGTTAAAACATTCAGGGCATTACCTTTTAATTACTGTGGTGCTTTGGTTATACAGATTTTATAAAAGTCAAAATGAAAGGTTAAATTATTTCATGACAGTTTTACATGTTACAAAAAAAAAAAACATTTTTGAAAGCTTTTCTTCAATATCTACCTTTTGTTCCAGGCATTTTTGGCTGCGCTCCAAAGTCCTTGCGTCCTTTTAGAATAAGCAGTGCTGAGTGCTGGTGCGGCCCTCATTTATGGCCCCGGCCACTGAATGACTCCACTTACGGGGCCCCTTCGGGAAAGAGCGTCAGGAACAAGTAAAGAGCCCCGTCAGCTGTGCCTCTGCACTGTCCTGTTACAGGCCTCTGCTGAGCTCAGGTGGAATCATATCTTTTGTACAGTTAATCCTTTTATCAAATCGATGGTTCTCTCTCGCAGCCTTTTCCTCAAACCAGAGCTAATTCTTGATATTGAAATGTTAATATCCAGTTTGAAATTTAGTGTTAAACTGCAGTCTCTGAGCTCTGAGTATTATGTGCTGTTTTATCAGGCCATTGTTGTATCTTCAATATTTAGTTTAATAACGTAGGGACTAGAATTTTATTGACAACTATATAAAAAGCCAAATGTTCAGACATATCCTACAAATAAATAAATAAATAAATATATAAATAAAAATATAAAAATAAATTAAATTTCTTTGGTTAATAATTAAATGTTTTAATAGTCATTATTTAGATTTAATGATGCAATAACTTAAAATTGTGACACCTATACAAAAAGCCAAATGTTCATATCCTAACCCGGCACTAAGAAAAGAAAGAAATATAAAAATAAATTATTTTCTTGGAATTTATGTGGTTAATAATAACCTGGTCTAAGTTATTAATTACAAATAAAATATAGATTTTTAAATAGTTATTTAGATAAATACTTAAATTATATTTAGTTTATATAGTATGAATATGGAGTTTGTGAGCCTTTCTCTTTAGACATCTGTCATGCAGTTGAACTTGAACACTTAGCCAGCCTAATATGATTCTAAACACTTAAAATACATTTTTACTCTACATATACACGTAAACATCAATTCTCGTTGCCAAGTCACTCGGCCTTATCGTTTAACACCATACAAATCATCATTTGACAGTCCGTGTGTACAGTCCTCATTACACGCGTTGCAGTGACGTCAATGATGTGCAGATCAGCTGCTGTCAGGGCGGGTCGGTCACGTGATCACGCCAGTCCCTTCAGACAGAATAGGCTTGTTTGAGATGAGCAAATTCTGCGCAGAATCGATCACCGGTGATCAGCGCGAGATGCATGCCGGTTAGAAATGTGTCCGAGAACGGTCCGCCTGGCTCTGATGTCATGCCGACGTATGTCAAAAAACTCTCGCGAGCGCAAGGCGGAAGGGTCGGATTCTGCAGTCGCGCGCAGTTGCTCTCCACCGACTGCGCTGATCAAAAGCATGATGGGAAACGACTTGCTGACGACACAGCTTAATGCTCATTGGTTTAAACAACAGTGATGAAGGTAAATTCCATATTCATTAAGCTAAATTCTCCAAATCAAGGCCATGTTTTATTTATTTATTTTTTTCAAATTGAAACTGATCTATATAATCTCTTAAACGGGTTAAAAATAAGAAAGCTATAGTCAGTAACTCAAATATACTAGGCCTACTCTAAAATGTTCAAGTGAAAAATAGCTCTCATTTTATAGATGATGAAGTTTGTAAGTCTGTCTATTTAAGCTAAGCTTATTTTGATTGATTTATTTATTTATTATTAATTTTATTCTGATGTTTATGTATTTGTCGCTGTATAATAGGCCTATTTGTTTCACGAATTGTGGTGCTTGTAGGTAGGCTATGTTTGTAACTTGCATTCTAATAAAAAAGTAAAATAAATAAAAATAAAAGAACACCAGATGAATTGTTACTTTTAAAATGTTTTAAAACTGATATCATGTTTTATGTGTATACATAGGCTATGGGTGAATAAACTATCTGACAGTGCCATATGGGTTATATTTCATTTTTGTTAAAACAATAGGCTATATAAAAACACGTCTGTATTAAAGAAAAAAAAGATTGATAAACCATAGGCTATTTGGAATGTAATTAAATAACAAGTACTTTGGGTTTTATTTACATTTTATTTATTTTTATATAAAAGCAACAGAACTTAAATCACATCCAGTTTATTAGCAACACGTGCACGAGCGTGAATCCCGTTAATCCCGCGATATCCGCCTTTGATCTCACAGGTGTCTGATTCACTGCGAGAACCCTAGATCTGTCCGGCTTGATTGCGCTTTTTTCACTCCTCCCCTCACTGCAGCCGCCTACTCTCGACTACATTGCAGGCGAGGCGAGGCGCATCTCAAACAAGCCTATTGAACCGGTGAGAATCTCGCACGGTAAGTGTCCTTTAAGTATAAAAATTATACATCGACATTTAGTTTTAATAAGGCGAAGGTATTCAGAAATGGTTATTAGCGAGATATTGTAGCTCCTGTGTGATTGACAGGATTTTAAAAAATAAATATTTTTCGTTGTGCATCTGCTGTTGTTGTTAGCATCCCTGCTAACTAGGGCGAATGCGTCAAAACTGATTTTAAAATAAACTATTTGTTTGGGTTGTGTAACGTTATATGAATAATTTTGAAATTATATATTCATTATAAACGTGTTCACGTTAGTAATGTTTCAGAGTACTAGTGTGTTTGAGAAACAAGTTATAGCATGCTATTTGTAATTTGACGCTGTCAATGTGTTTTTAGTGCTGTCACAGTGAACGTATTAATGAAATACGTTTCACGTAATTTTTTTTTTTTTTTTGCTATTACGGTTGCATTCAATAAATTTAATTGTGCTTTCTAAAAACTGTTTTGGAATTATTTGCTGTCATTTTGTATTATTTTTCTCATAAATAGTTATTCAAAAAAGATTGAATTAAAAGTTAGTGAAAAACTTAATCTCATGTTAGTTTGAACTAAAATTAAATATTTTCCAGATATTATTTAAACAATTTGTTATTGTAATATGACAATCTAAAAATAGAAATTTATATTTAGGTAACAATAATGTTAGTTGTCTTGATAATATAACATTTAATATTTTCCACACAATATTTTCTTTAGCATCAACAATTATAAATAGAAAATGTGAATCATATCTCAACTGGACGATACAAATAAGACTCTGACATCTTTAGTTATTTATTAATGATTTATACAACAGTGTGTTTGTCTTTTCTGCAGACCTCGTGTTTCCTGCATCTCTCTGTGTTGAGGATCTCATGGCTGCTGTTTGGCAGCAGGTGCTGGCAGTGGACGCAAGGTGTGTGCAAGATTTTCATTGGAGTGAGACTCCATGCATACATGTGTAAAAACATTTTTAACGTGTGTAGGGACTAATCATGTCTTATATTATTTCCTCTCCCTTTCTTATTCCTCAGGTACAATGCTTACCGCACACCTACGTTCCCCCAGTTCCGCACACAGTACATCCGCCGGCGCAGCCAGCTGCTCCGTGAGAATGCCAAGTGTGGCTTTGAGCCGGGGCTGCGCAGGCAGTATCTGCGTCTGCGCAGTCAGTTGCTCGCACTGCGTTACGGGCCTCTGTCAGAGCAGAGCAGCTTCAGAGCCAGCAGTGTGCGCAGTTCCCGCACCACACTGGATCGCATGGAGGTTAGGTGCATTCAGAAACAGGGAAGAGGGTTCGAGAAATGTGGATTAGGAGCTCTGGGCTGAAATAAGCCCCACAAAAACACAGTCAGAGGGCAAGATAGTATATATAAGAGATATAAATAGCTATCCAGATCCAGGTCAATGTGTTGTGTGAGAGCTGCAGTGCATGTAGATTGCGAGCTCTTTTGTGCATGATGGGCTTGATGTTGTTGCTGTAGTGCTGAACTCTAAAATCACCCTCCATTGCTGCCTTCTCTTTTCTTGGTCTTTTTTATTCTCTTTTCCATCTTTTTTTCAGGACTTTGAGGAGGATCCCAGGGCTCAGGGTGCCAGAGGCCACCGGAGATCAGTAAGCCGTGGTTCATACCAGCTACAAGCCCAGATGAACAGGGCGGTGTATGATGAAAGGTAAACCCCACTAACCATAGCTATTTTACTAATTATTTTCGTGTTTGTATAAATAAGTCTTTGGTAATTTCTTCTGTGCCAGGCCTCCAGGTAGCCTGGTGCCCACCTCGGTGGCAGAAGCCAGTCGGGCCATGGCAGGTGACACCACCCTCAGTGAGAACTACGCCTTTGCCGGCATGCACCACATCTTTGATCAGCATGTCGACTCAGCTGGTGAGTGAGATGTTAATGACACAACTAGGGCTGTGACCAACCAATATTTCTGTAGTCAATACCAGCACAATTCAAATTTCACAATATTTGATTAGCAGTCAACCGACATACATTTTTAGAGAACAGGGTGGCAGATTTCCCATATAAAGCTAATATATATGATATCACAGTATTTAAGTTAAAGATAGATATTTGCATAATATTTACTTAATTAGAAATAATTAGTAAATTAAGCCATGTGATTTTTTATAGAATTTAAATTAATTGAATAAAAAAATTTATTTAATTTTTTATATTTTAGATAGCAACTTCTTGATTTTTGAAATCTTATTTTAGTATTTTTCATAATAAAATAAAACTTGAAAAAAGTAAATCAGATGATGTTGATAAATAAAAAATGCCATATATTGACTAACATATTAGTCGTCCACTATCCTTTATACCAATTTTGATATCACAGCTAAACTACAGTTCATTTATATTTTTTCAAGAAAACACTGGCTGACAAAGGACAACAAAATAAATGCAAAGCTGCAATTTTATTTTGTTTAATTTTGTTTTTTATTTTGGCAATTTTATTATTGTTTAATCCCTGCATTGTGTGTCTATTTCACCATATATATATATATATATATATATATATATATTTATATTTACCTTAGACATAACCAACTAGAAGAGTTGCTAAAAGTAGCACCTCAATGCAGTACACGAGATCCAGGGGGCGGAGTTGGATCCGAGGGGTGGAGATGGGTAGGATTAGGGGTGGGGTTAGGGATTAGGGGGCGGAGATGGGTAGGATTAGGGGTGGGGTTAGGGATCAGGGGGCGGAGATGGGTAGGATTAGGGGTGGGGTTAGGGATCAGAGGGCGGAGATGGTTAGGATTAGGGGTGAGGTTAGGGATCAGGGGGCGGAGATGGGTAGGTTT